TAACATTTGGAGCACAGTAAGTGCTTGATAAAAGCTGCTGTTAATGCTGTGAGCTAAACGCCCCCACTCCAGTCTGGTTTCCTGATGTCCAGAACACTTCCCTGAGAATTTATCTTTTGTTGCTTTGCTTCGTCAAAGCCCAAATATAAATCGTATTCATCTGCCCTAATTTCTTCTCCCGTCTTTCTGCCCATTCTCAGCCCAAGTCCTGATACTGCATCCCCTTTCTTAAATAGATAATTAAAAAGCAAGTGTTACATGGAGCAGAATAACTAAAATGAAAAAGAGGGAAAGTATAAAAAATGGATGAAGATGAAATGCATCCAGCTCTTTCTTGTGGTACCTGTAGGAAAATACCATTAACCATTTTTGAAACTTGTCTGGCAGTGACGCTGGACACATGCTTATCTTTTAATTCAGAAATTGCAGAATCCTAGCTCTGTACTCAACAGAAACACGTGCGTAGGTAACCAAAAATCACAGAGAAGAAATTTCACAGGAGCACAATATTAGTTACCTATCACTGAATAACAAATTACTCCAACACCGAGCAGCTTCAAATAATAAACATTGATTATCTCATGGTTTCTGTGGATTCTGCAGGCATCTGCAAGGGAGCAGGCTGGATGAAGGGCCAATTTATCCATTAGGCAGAGTATGTGCAGTGTCTAGAGACTATAATACTTGTCAGCACAATTTCCTTTGGTTCCTTTTATTTATTTATTTTTTTTAAGTGGAGAAAAGGTCCATGAGGACAAAAGCACCCAGGGCCCATAAAAGGCATATAATGTGGCCCTAGCTAGTCGTTCTAGCTGAGGGTCTCTCAGTGAGGTTTCAGTCACGGTGTCAGCTGGGGACACAGTCATCAAAAGATTCTACTGGGGAAGGATCCACTTCCAAGTTCACTCAGGTAGTTGCTGGAAGGTGTCAGCTGCTCTTCCTCTCTGGCTGTTGGTTGGAGGACTCAGTTCCTCACCACCTGGGCCTCTCCATGGCGGCCTGAGTATCCTGAGGACATCTTTATTATCTAATCTTGGAAGTGACATACTAGCTGCCGCTTCTGCCGTATTCTTTGGTTCACACAAACCGCACCTGAGATGAAGTGCTGTGGATACCAGGAGGTAGGGGTGACAGGGGTCATTTGAGAGGCAGGCTACCACGGGAACAATTTTTAATAGTTTGAAATGAGAAACTATCCAAATGTCTGTTAACAATAGAAAGGATAAATAGATGATGGTGTATTTGGACAATGGAGTTCTAAACAGCAATGAGAATGAACCATTTACAACTACATGCAGTAAACAATATGGATGTACCTCACAAACATAATATTGCATAGAAGAAGCCAGGCACAAAGTATACATGCCATATGACTCCATTTACATAAAGTTAAAAAACAGGCAAAACTGCTCTCTGTGTGAGAGGGGAAGATAGTGGTTCCCCCTGAAAAAACAGCTGCTGGAAGTAGATCAAGGTCGAGGGGTGCTTTGGAGGCTGGCAATATTTGGCCTCCTGACCAGGGTGTTAGTTCCACAGGTTTATTTGTGAAATTTATTGAGCTGTGCACTTTTCTCTATTATACTTTAAAAAGAGTTTTTCAAAAGTAGGTGATGCATTATCTTCCTTGTCTCCCTTTCCTGAAGAGGCGTTCTGGAAGAGATACCGGTTCTGGCTAAGCACAAATCTGGGATAACTATAGTATCTGGTGAGCCTCCTGGTCCTGGCTCTAGGCCTTACTTGACTGAATCAGTCACTTATGCTCTCTGAACTGTAGCTCGTTCCTCTGCAGCGTTGGGTGGACCCTACCACTGCCAGCCTCTAAGAGCTATCAGACACAGCTGAGTCTGTTGTATTCAATACACAAGATTAAGGACAAAAGTCAGGGAGTCCTGTAAAAATCAAGTTTAAACACAATTCCCTTGAAATTCCTTAGATAAGCTTTAAATCACTGAGGTGCCCTTGGAGGAATTTACTTCTTTTGTTTCTCTTAGATTTCTGCCCTTGTCTTCCTTGCTGCAGGGCAGCTTTAATGGGTAGGGGGTTGTGGCAGGGAGCGGGGTGAGGGGAAGGATTTCTCACTCTCCTGATTATTTGTTGTTGTTGTTGAGGGCCCCTAGTGGAGCTTCCATTTTGGATAAACCTTTACAAGACTCCAGTATATGTGAAAGCACTGCATATTATAATGATATTAAGAAAATGTGAGTTAAGACTCATCTTTGGAACAGGTGCTTTCCCCAGTTTATCTGCTTGATATAAGGGGCTGCTTGATGCTAAATGACGTATTAGGACAACGAGCAGAGAAAGAAGCTGAAGTCAGCATTAGATATTATTATAAATAGCAATTTTGCAATTATGTAATACTTTATAGTTTACAAAATAATGTCTTAAAAATTACCCTTATTTTAAGATGAGGCTTACCTTCTCAAGATCATGTGACTAGTTTAGCAGAAGAACTAGGATTTATAACCAGATCTTCCAACTTCAAAACCATAATCCTTCCCAGGAGACTGGGGTATCTCTTCCCCTTCTCCTCCCCCTTCTTCTTTCTGCTCTCTGCGGTCTTCTGTCTGTCTGTCTGTCGGCCTCTCTCTTCGCTGTGCTTCTCTCTCTCTCTCCCTTTAGGGGTGGGGTTGGTACAAAGAGGTAAGTTAGAGGACTTGTGACCTGGCTCTCCTGGGCTCAGCCACCTGCACAATCCACCTGAGCTTGACTACCCTCTCTAGGCAAGATTCCCTAAGATTAACGAAGACAGTGAGGTGGGAAAAGCAGGGTTACCCGTGTGGCTGTGGTTCTCCCCTGGACAAGAAACCTGCTCCACGGGATGAGGTTAAAAGTTGTTCCTGTGCATTCTGGGATGTGAGGGGTTTAAGGAAAACCCTGCTGGGTGATTGAGCTAGCTTCTGATGCTCCAGTGTGTGGCCAGGTTATCATTTTAATACACATATGCCTGCTTGCATCATGCTTATGAATGCATTTAACACCTGCTTATCGCTATATGATAAAATCATTTGTAACGACTAACCTTGCCCAATAAAGACATATGTTGAGATAATTTTAATATCATAATTCAAGTCTGGTTCTGTCTAGGACTATATGACCAAAGTGTCCCTAGACAGGGCAAGTCCTTCCCATACTTTCAAGAGGAACCCAGAAATAGCCACTGTGAAGTGGCTTGGGGAGGAGGGTAGGGGTGGGCTCAATGGAGAATCTTCTCTTGAGTCCTCACATCCAGGAGAGAGAATTTCTATCTCCAGATATGATCGGAGTCCATGTCGGTCATTACAATTTAAGTCATTCCATGATGTTTCTTTTGGGACTCAGGTAGCAGCATGAGGCCCCCTGGTGGCCTGAAGTAATTCACGAGTTTACTTCTCAGGCATTTTGATGGGCAGGCGACTGGAGAAGTCCAGGGTAGTGAAGATTGACCTAGACCTGGTGCTTACAGGAGAGGCAGGGCGCAGCGGGACGACCTGTTTTGAGGGAGTTGAGAACTGAAGTATTTTTTTAAGTGATTAAAACAAATGGACTCTAAATTCTGGATAAACGACTCACTTTCAATTTTTTTTATTCTTTAGTTCAATTAGCAAACCCTTAATCCTGCACAAAACATTTTATTAGGCATCACATGGGGCGAAAAGAAACTTCTTTTCACTTCTAAGGAGATTTGAAAGAGAACAGAACATTTATACCACCAACCTGGTAAAAAATGAGAGGTGCCCTCAGAGAATAAGTAAGGAAAGATTCACGGAGGAGCAGTTACGTTCAGATAAAAGGGACAGCCTCTAGGAAGAGGTTGCATTTAACCTGGGGCTCTAATGGGAAGCAGGATTTGGGTATGTTGAGACGGAGAGGGAAAGGATGACATTCTGGAGGAGGAAAAACAGAAGTTTAAACAGACATGGAGGAAAACCGAAGCCTGATCCAGGAATGGTGAATAGTCTGGTTGGGCTACACTCATAACGAGTTTTCGAGTTGCAGTGAGAGTGAAAGCTGGATCCATCTGTTTGGATCAGACCGTGGAGAACCTTGAACACTTGCCTGAGAAATTTCTTCATCAGCAGTGGGGAGCCTTTGAATATCTTTGCACAGAATAGAGGCGTGTCAGAGCACAGAGTCTGTCCCGTTGAAATAAACACAATACCACACTCTTGTATTTCATCCGGAGGGGTGCTGATCTCCCTGTGTTGAAGATCATTGTGGTGTACTCAACTGTAATCAACAACTCCAGACTCTCACCATCTGACCTTCAAAGCCAGGAATAACTAAGCCATCAAGGCATCTCCCCTTAACGAAACTACCCGAGTACCAGGGAGTGGTCACTACCAGAGGGGCCTGACCTGTTTAATTAAATTCCTGGGTAGAATGCCTTTCATCCAGAGGGCTATGCTAGATTTGTTTTGTTTTGCCTTGTTTATTCAAGGTTAAAAAAAGGGGCCTCACACCAACTATCTTCCTGCTCTAGTTAAATTGTGGTTTAAACTACGTGGACCAGGAATATTTCTGGCTAGAGAAATGGGGTAGAGTCCTAGCTGTGTGTGGAACAGCTCAATGTTTACCAGATTGAAGCAGTAACCTTAGAACGAACACAGTTAAGCAGCCAGAGAATCTACACAATGCCTGGCATATGGTCAGTGCTCAAAAATACGTTAAGCAAATTGTTAATGACTGATTTTTCAGTAAATATATAAAACACATTATAAAATTTCAGACCCCAGGCACTGATTTCCTAATTGTAATGGCACAGACATCTTTTAGACTATAGTAAAAATAATCAACAGTAGTCCTTGGAAGTCACACACAAAAATAATGTATTAAAAATCTCTTAGTGAAGTTAGGAGAAGCAACATGCCCATTGGAGAGAAACACAACTGAGGTGTTACGGGGGGCTGAGGGAAGATGGGCAATTTGGAACCACAATGAAAATAACTGCAACAGAAACAGCTGTTTAATTCATTTTAGCAGCAATGAGTATTTATTATTTCGAATGAAATGTACATGAAATCTTTATATAAAAATCATCAAAAGTGCTATGTTGGATTATTTTAATATTACTATAATGCCCTCCCCTATGTCACCTAGGAGCTACACCCTTTACCTCTTTTCACTTCTGACACATCATGATATTCATCTAAAACCGTCCAATGTTAAAACATAAAAAAATTTAGGTTATTCTTCAGGAGAAAGTACCACCAGTTATGAGTTCCTGAAAGTCAAAAATAAAACAGGTGCCAGATGATCAACTTATTGAAAAAAGAAGTCACCACAGAATTTCATAGAAGTATGCCAGGTCCAAGGCCATTTGGACTCTGCGCAGAATGCTTTATGATGCAGCTTCTCAGCCGTGCGGGTTATTTCTTTTGGAGGCCAGTCACTGGTGTGCCAGAGCCACCTGATTATTTTCTTGTCTTCTCTTGGCTACTTTCCAAGGGGAACCGAATGTTGGCTAAGGCTGCATACCTCCCATGACCCCGACTATCTTTCAGGCGGAGAAAAAACTGCATTTACAATCTGAGAAAGAGCCCTTAGAGTTAAGTTTGTCAATGAAGAAGATATGAGTTGTTCCTCGCCCAGGAGAGCCCCCTCGGCCTCCCACCCTCCATCCACTCCCATTCCTCAGGTCTGCTCGGGTGCTGAGTCCGTGGTCGCCCACGCGAGTTCTGGGTGAGCTGGCTGACACAGGGAGAGCAGGGTGTTTGGGCCGCGTATCCCACTGGGTCTCCCTAAGCAAACAAGCTTCTCTGATGTGCCACCAGAGCCGTCTGACTCTCCCGTCTCTTGGCTTTTTTGTTCCTCTGTCTCACCTTCCAGCACAAAGCGCTGGAGGCTAACAAAAGAAGTCCCGAGGAGAGAAGGACCAGGCCCAAGATGGAGATGATGGAGCCGTGGGAATTGAAGCTGTAGGCCACGGCCGTGACCACTATCCCAGTGATGAGGATCACCACGGCGAAGGGGATGAGGCAGCGGTAGCAGGAGAGCTCAGCACCCCCGGTGGCGGCCATCAGCTGGATCTCACTGACCAGGGGGACCGTAGTGACCACGACTTCACCCTTGGGGCTCTTCTCCACTGTCCCTGGCTTGGGAGACTTTGGCGTTCCCAGGATCTCCTTGACGGGCTCTTCGGTCATTTTTACAGCAGTGTTTCCGAGCTGAGTTCACAGACTAGACGTAGGGGGTCTCACCAGGGTGGAGGCTGTGGAGGAAAAGAGGAGAGGTGTCAACGAACTGTACAAAAGGGAACCCTGTGAGGAAAAGAAGCTGGGGAGACACCGCTGTGTTCTTTTCCAGGAGGCATGAATGCATGTCCTTTCTTTTCTAATCGTTTGCATTCTCTTTGCACTGGGCAAAAAGCAAGATAGAGCAGATAACCATAAAGAAGGGGAAGATGTAAAAAGCAGGAAGCACTTTGCAGTGTTTAATAAACCCTGGCGGTCTACAAATGTTTTACTAGCTTTTCCGCTTTGTCTATTTCTTCTCTTTCCTCTAAGCACACCGAAAAGCCTCAATCCTAATCCAAAGACCTCATTCAGAGGGAGACTAAGTTATAAACAATGTCCCGCACAGTTCATCCACAACTCATAGCAACTTAGGCGCTGCCAATGTTTCCGGGCATAACGTGCATTCTTTCCAAACTATCACCCATTTGCTGCCTGCTGAATCAACGTCAAGACCAGAGACAGCGTACAAATGATGTTCTTCTACATCAGCTTGACAGTCAACAAGTCTTTATTGTGTAACTATTCAACACAGTGCCACATGCGTCCTGGGACCCTGGTATGGGTGCAGTTCAGCAAAAATTCAGTGACAATTAGGCTAAGATGTGTGGATCTAAAATGTTGCAATATCCTCCAATCCATACAAAAGAACTGGAAAAGGAAATACTAAGAAAAAAATCAACAATTTTGTAGGATATAGTTTAATCCTTCTTAAATTAGAGTAATTACTTGTCCATTCACAAATTTTCCATTAAACTCAACAAAGAATTTTGACATTAAGTGGACTAGGACATGTTGAAAAAAATAAGCATGTTAGGTTTTCAGTAAAGTTTTACAAGTTTCTTTTGCCCCAAACCCCTCACCTCTCTAAGTATTTTGAATCTGAACATTTCTGGACAAAACCTGAGACCCCATCAAGAGCATCTGTTTGAAATCCTGCCTATGAGAAATCTGTGAAAACTCTTGTCTGCCGCTCAGACATGTTAAGTCATTTTTTTTCTCCCTGAGAGGCCACCTAGCAGCTAAAGAGTAGAGCAGTTATAATTATCGAGTTTAAAGGCTATTTCTGAAGGCTATTTCAATGAGATTAATACTTTGAATGTAGTAAGCATCCACTGAAAACAAATTCAAGCTCACATCAAACCTCACAAGTTCTTTCCTGCCCTGGGAGGTCAAAATATCACTCCCCAGGCAATGAAGTTAAATATGTAAGAGCTGCCCATTTGCATGAAAATTTTAGTCACCGTACTGTAATCACTGCTTTTCAGTAAATGGATATGTGAGATTATGTTGGAAAGAAAAAAACTTCTTTTACTTCACCCTAAAGCTGAAACTTAAGCTATAACCTGAAAATTAAGATCTGTCCCCAAGCTACTTACACGTACCTCAGAGAGAAGCAAGCCATTACCAGGGAAACCAGTGGACTTGGGGAAGAAGAAACTTCAGCGCTTCAGCCTCTTCTGGTCAACTTCTGGGAAAAGAGACCTTGAACAGCATGTCTGTCAATGAAACGACAGGGTAGGGATCTCCTCTGGGGAAAAAGAAAGATATAAAAATCCTGAACTCTCTGGCTGGTTTTAGATCCTGCAGTTCTTTCTCTCACTCTACCTCTGTTCCTAAATGACGCTTGTCTTTCCCTCGCTCTCTTTTTATTTCCTCCCCCTCTGATTGCCCCTCCCTGTCATTTCTTTTTCCTTCGTTCTTTTCCTTGCCAGCAGATTCTGAGTTTTGGCTTCCACCAGCTCTGCTCAGTGACATGATAAGTCGGAATCATTCTAGAGTCCCCAGAGACAGGAGCCAGCTTTCACGTTGTTTCTCTTGCAGCATTTACTAAGTAGACTGCTTTGCATTACTCATTTTTTCCCCAGCCAACCACCAGATCTTCCTCCCACCCATCAGGGATTTTCATAAGAAAATCCCCGAGTCAGCTTTGCAGACCCAGCTGAGGGGACAGAGCTGAAGGGACAGACACTTTAGGGTGGCAGGAACAGCTGCGAAGTCATCGGGCAGCTGAATTCAGCCTCTAAGCCCACAAAAATCTATGTTCCTAGGTTTTCCTAGTGTTCTTTATTTGTGTGTGCTGGCCATCTGAAGCTTAAAACCCTCTTGATTGATGTTAATTCATTTAGAAATGAGATGGGAGATACAAATATTTTGTGATTAAGAGGAAAAATCAGTCATGAAATTATCATTTTGTCATTTGCAGAGTGCTTACTATGGGCTTGACACGTGCAGTGTGCCTGTATTACCATTAATTCTCAGTAGTTTACAAGTGAATTTATAATCGAGTTTATAATTGGTTTATAAATGAAGCTCAGAGAGGTTAAGTAATCTGAGAAAGCTCACACAGAAAGAGAGAAGCCTTCGGTTTGAACCCTAGTCTTTCATGGGCATAAAAATCGCATGGGGAGCTTGTTAAATGTAGGTTCTGACGCACGGGTCTGTAACAAGCTCCTGCCCAGTGCCCATCTGCTGCTCCCTGACTCCTTTGATGGAAAAAGGTATTTTAAACACTCCAACACATAGGTCTTGACACCTTTCCCTCTCAATGAAGTTAAAGGTTAATTTTCCACCCATCTCCCTAAATGGCCTTATCCATGTATACTTTATTAGACAAGGTATTTTGAATTTTAAAGCCCCAGGTTGTCTTTTTCAGGGGAAAAAAAATGAGATAATACTGGGAGACTAATATAAGCTGGTCTCTATACTTTTATAGCTAAAAGGGATCCATCCTCTGTTTTTTATTCTATACAAGTTTCTATAACTTTTTTTAAAAAAATGATCCAGCATTTACACATCTAGATGAAACCTCAGAAGAGATTTGTTTTCCCTTTTTTTTTTTTTTTAAACCTCAAGTTGTTAGTTTTCCCTAACTGTTGTTGGAAGGCTTGGGCTGCCCAGGCATCTCACGTCTGTTCCGCGCTAGCCGGCTCCTTCCAGCCTCGGCCAGTAACAATACTGTGATGATTTTGCCATAAAGGGAGAGTGACCAGAGGACCTTTATTTTTTCCAGAATGGAAGCCAGAGAGGGCTTGGGCTTCTTCATTTTGAAACATGAAGTTGAATAGTCCCTGGAGCCTGGCTGAGTTGGGAAAGCCCAGCTCACTGAGGATGAGTAGCTGGAGGGCTTCTGCACCGCCAGCCACGCTCGCCCCCTTCAAGGTGGGACACACCATCTCCAGGAGGAGGGCTGTCACTTGGTGTTGAAGGTAAGCAATTCTTAGAACCAGACACCTCACCCCGGCCATCCTTGCCCAGGGAAGAGGGTGATATGCGGGGGTTGGGAGGTGGGGCACGGGCTACAGAAATGGGAGATTCTGAGAATCTCCTCAGAAGAGCAGTAGACCTCCCTCTGTGAACTGTGGCCTTTGGGGGCAATTCCTCTCCACTTCCCAGCATGGGCTGCCTTCCCCCCAATAGACCACTAACCCCAAGGAAGGTCAGAATATCGCCTTATTGCCTTATCGCGTTGAAGATCGTGTTCCCCCATTACCCACGTCAAAGGTACAAGAATCAACCAGAAAGAAGCCCGAGGCACCTTTCGCTAAGGTGAGCCGCTGGCTGAAACTGTAATGAGGGTATCTGCGTGCCCTGAGCGTGGGCAGGTCTGTCCTTTACTTCTCCTGACACCAAAGCCTTCTTCAGCCTTTTCGGCTTCAGGTGTCGCAGACACCCCATTTCTTATTCTGCCTAGACACACAGATGCACATCTCCAGAATCTACGGAGATCGTTGGCGGCGTGTACTGATAAACGCAAAGAAGTAGAAAGGATAAAGCAGAAATTGTATCTGAACAATAAACATTATCATTCTATCCATGGACACACAGGCAGTTCTAACTGACTTTTACCTCTTCAACCTGAAATTCAAAGAGAATTCCTGGTGATCAATGCCTGATATCTTTGAATTTATTTTTTTTTAAATTTTCCCTTTTTCCACCCTGTGCCTATGAGATATTAAACACCCCTGGGAATTTCTGAAGGGACACCTGCCCCCAAATCCACAATACAACTAGCTTTCGTTCTGCAAGCCCCCTTTCAGAAGGGAGAGGAAACCTTTCTGGTTCTTTTTAAAATACATGGCTCCCAGAGATTCCTTTAAATTTGGAGAACTTCTCAGGAAGCTTCCAATGCATGAGTTAAATCTATAACCCTTCGCTCCACCCCCTCTGTTAAGCATTCAACATTTCTCTCCCAGATCTTTCAAAGAGCAAGGCAAAGATCCTTACCTTTCCCAGCCAGAGTCGGAATGAGACAGCTGCCAGCTCCAGCCAACGGCAACCGAGAGAGGGAGATGCAAATCACTGCTGTAGGGACCGTAAACAAAGTACTCAGGCTTAAGCGCAATTAAGGGACCGGAGAAAAATTGGTGAGAGGAAATCCCTTAAATGCTGCTCTATTGTGTTCTAAGGTTCCCTCTATGAGGTGATGCATATTTTTAAAAAGGGAACCACGTTTGTAAAGAATGTCCTCCTTTGTTTTTTCTCTTTCTATCCCCACTCAGGCTTTCATTTTCAAGGTTTTCCCTCTCCAAAGCCCCCACCCTGACACTATGTTTCTGTAATACCGTGGACCTGCAGAAAAGATTTTACCATTCTTGTTTTATACTTCTAGGTGGGTGTGGGGTTTGGAACGTGTGTGGGGGTGGGAAGGGGGGCAGTAAATTAATTCTCTTTCACTGAAACAAGCGGGTAGTAAGAGGAGTGAAGAAAGAGAAGGGTTCACGGTGGAAGTGGTGGTCGCTGCTGTGTGCGGACCCTCTCGGTAAAGTCAGGGGAGCGGTCTTCTCTGCCCTCTTCATCAGAGGAGGCGAGGCACCATGGAAATAACAAGGCGACCTTCCCCCAAGGCACCATAAACAGCAGAGCCAGGAACACTTGCTGTTCCAGAGAGAGCTCCCCCTTGCCTTACTTAGAGACAGAACTGGAAAGAAAGTTATTTAGGTGAAGGGATATAGAAAGGTAAGAGGGAAGGGAGGAGGGCGGGTATCATGACAAAGAAGGGATTTTGCCCGTTGCCTTTCCGTAGAAGCCGAAGTTTCAGTGTCTGAGTTCGAAAGAGGGACATTTTGAGTTTGCCACTGAGCGTGTGCTTTTGAAGACCTGGAAACGGCTCCTTGGGGAACAGACGCACTTTGTGAGGAGCAATGCCATGTGCATTCGATTAGTTGCCCATATTTACTTTCAGTTTGCTTTTGCTTGGTGTGGTTGAGTTGGCCAATTTCCAGCAGCCCTGAAGGTGCCAGACCCTCCTGGCCTTCTGTTCAATCGCTGCACGCCTTTGATCTCCACCATCACCCAGCCCAGTGGGGCTCAGCGAGATTCAGGAAGCTGGCCAGTTTTCTCCTTTCCAGCGCTTCTCTTAAGGGTGTGTCTCCATTTAAGGTCTGAAATCATGGACATTTGGGAAAGCGATCTGCGCTTGTGTGTTCATTTTGGATAATAGGTCATATTATTCTTGCTTCTCCCCACCCCACCCCACCCCACGGCGCTTTGCTTTGAGATCTAGGACGTTAAAGAGAGATCTGACAGTACCGAGAGGAACAATGGGTATACCTTAGATATAAAACATGTCTCACTATTTTCTGGTCAGTTTCCAGGTACCAGAAACTCATAAAAATCCATGTGGCTGTAGAAAGGAAAATATACATCTTTTCAGTGCACATCCCAGTCACTATTCTATTACTCATTTTGTTCTGAGTCACTGTGAAAGATCACATAAACATAAACAAAAAAAAAGTGACTGAAATCAAAGGACACAGTGGGATCTTAGGAGGGCTGAGTACATCATCTCTCACTTCAACAAGAACTGTGTCACTTTGGCCTCAGATGAGAAACATCGATTTTTTTTTGTTTGTTTGTTTCAAAGTCCAAATATATGCTGCAAATGCTATGATCCTGATCCATTCCCAAGGTGAGTGTATAACCCTTTTAAGTATCGTGCATAACCCTTTATATTTATGTACGTTATTCTTTGGAGACCTATGATGGGGAAGCTCGAAGGTAAAGAGTTACAGCAAATTGGGCTGGCACTTGCCCAGGACAAGGGCACAGCATATGGGTCAGTCCCTCTGCCCCCAGCGGGCTGAGGGTCCTGTGCTCAGGGACCTGTAGGGAGCTCACCACACTTGTCTTTTCTCGGGAAGGGAAGGGAAGGGAAGGGAAGGGACAGTTATGACTTCGCCCCTTGGCACTCTTCAGACCCAAGAGTATGTGTTTTTACAGAAGCAGTCGCCCATTAGCCTCTGGTGACAGCATCCCTTGTCCTATCCATAAAATAATGTGTAGATGGTGAGACCTCAATCGACTCCTAATCAGCACATCATTTCTAGGTCTCATCATCAGTCTGCTGTTGGGGATTTAAAACCATCCTGCCACAAGTAAAATTTTCTTAAAAACTGACCACTTACAATATCCTGTGAGAGTCGGTTAACTCTTCTTTGTTCCATATTCATCGAGCAGAATATACCTTCTGACCTGAACAGGTATCTCCCAGTTGCATAGTGACTCACAGAGGAAGGGTATATCAGTGCTGGCCCTCCCCCAAATAGTAAAAAGTACAGTTGAAACCGTAGATTTTAAGCTCTGTGCTTGGGTAAGAGGAATGTCCAATTTATCTTCACAGCAAGTAGTTTGTTTCTATCTCTGTTTTCTGGAGAAAGAGTGGAGATGCAGAGGATGTCATTGTTCCCAGGTTTAACCCCAGAGCCTGGGCTCCTCTGTGCTGGGTCGACCTACCTGCTGGGCTCAGTTTGAAGAGGAAAGGAGCAGCACACTGCTGATCAAATATCTAATGTGCACCACCTGTAAAATGGGCCGATCTCAAGGACTCGTATTTTAATTTTCCTTATGAAAAAACTAGAACTCAGCAAGGTTAAGTACTTGCCTGGGATCCACTACTAGGGAAAGAGGCAAAGCCAATGTTCAAGACCAGCTGCCTCTTCTATGTTGTACTATGAGGACTCTGTTGCTTATTACTTTTTATTAGATTGGATTAGATTAGGAATATTTTAACTTTAGCATGAATCCCAGTTTCTTGGCTTGAGGATGAGATATTCTCCCTAGGTGTAGTTTGGGGAAAGCACTCTGAAAAGGGGAACTTCCTGCTTCTGGGATGTGGAACCAGAGTGTTGCCTCATAGACATCTGGGTATTGAAGTACAGCTGTGTTACTAAGCAGAATCGGGTGGGATTGAGACACAGGCCAGGTCCCAGTGGGGTCTGTGGGAAGCATTGTGGCAGTAGGGGCATTTCACAAGTCGCCCAGGCCATTCCTCAGCTTTCAGGAGCACATTGGTTCCGCTGATATTTGTTGTACTTCTTCCAGGTGCCAGAAACTTGCTCTTACTGAGTGGATACAAACCAGTAAACAACAAGATCTCTGCTCTCAGGGAGCTTACAGTCCAGGACAGGAAAGCTACAGGGCTACCAATGTGGACAATCTTTTTGCTGGAGGGAATAACAAACTGTTATGGGAAGCCCAGGGAAGATTAAATCAGCTCTGGTCTAGGTGGGAAGGCAAGCCTCATGGCAGACCAGCATTAGACAGTATAAGTAGGAAAGAAGAGAAGGTAATTCTAGGTGAAGGGACAGCCTATATATAAACATAGCTCAGAAAAGAGCCAGTCTTCCGGCAGAGAGCTTTGAATAGCCTATGTGGCTGAACTTTAGATTGCACGGGGCAGCCAGAGCAGTCAAAATAAGACTAGAAATGGTTTACAGTGAGATTATTGCCTCTCCGTCGAGTCTGGAATTTATTTCGAAACCAATATAGTTTTTGAGCAGGATGGCATAGTTAGGTCCGTGCATTATCAAAAATAACCTGGCATTAGAGTGTTGGGATGCACTGAGGAAAGCAAAACAGGGCAGGCAGAAAATGTGATTAGGATGCCGGTTAGGAAGCCTTTGTCCAGGTGAGAGGTGCTGGGGCCGGACATTGGGAAAGGCGTGCAGGTTGTAACTCACTGGAATGGGCAGGATCAGCAAAAGCTGGCAACGGATGTCATGGGGGGGAAGTTATCAAGGAATGAAGGGTTTGTAAGATTTTAAAGCCCAAGTCATTAATGACTTGGTAATACTGTCAGCTGAAACAGATGGCCAGGGCAAGGAGCAGGTGTAGGGGAGGTTATGCACCTGATTTTGTTAGCATAGGCGCCCATTTCTTCAGTGAAGAGGCAAACACCAGAGAAAGTGGTATTACTCCCTGACTGCTAATTTGTGAAGCATGGTCTGAATTGCCAGATAGTGCTGTCATGGGCTCACAGATGAAGATCCCACTAAAATTATGAATAAATCTATAATTCACTTCATTCTATATGCTATGTAGAATTGCGGACACATATGCATTATACACACACTCACTGTACACACATGACTTGATATTGCTAAATTTTGCATAGACAGGAACATAAGTGTTTTAAGCATTCCAATTTGAACTTTGTACTGGCTATATGCAAAAAATTATTGATTCAATATTAAAGTTCAATTTTCAACTCCTTGAAAACCAGAACATAGCTATGCAATTCTTTCTGTACAGTGCTTAGAGTGGAAAAAAGCACCCCAGAAGTGTTTTCTGGGAATGAAAATGTTTTCTCCTCCCATTAATCAGCACTCCAAGGTACTACTCCCATTGAAGAGGCCTTATAGAAAATTTCAGCTTCCCTGCTTTCAATGTGGAAAAACAGCCTTTGTCTTGCTAATGACTAAGTTTGTGTTGCCCTATGAGTTAATGCTATTTTTTTTTACAGGCAATACAAGTCCAATATGGATTTCTTTAGAAATGCCATATTTTGGGCCTCATGCAATGTAAGCAAATCTTCGTATTATGGTTTACCAAGATTGTGTGGAGTGGAAAGTCTCCCATAAGTTCCTGAAGTATAATATCAGCAATTGTGTGTGTGTTTATAGAAGGTCTTTGCCAAATAAGTGAACAAATAAATAAAAGAATGATTCTACATTGAAGTCAGATATGAACTTGAAAACTCAGATCATTATTCAAATGGATTATTTCAAAGCACTCATATATTTAGTGCTAAGTACATTAATTATTAAATTTTGTTAAGTATTCAATGATTCATTTTGTGAGTATTCTTTGGATAGTGGGTAGATACCATATATATCCAGCCACAGATTCCACCTACTTGATAAACAAATATTTATTGAACGTTGACTTTATGCTATACACCTTTTATAGATTTATTTTACTTAATAGTCACAAGTAGTCCAAGAGGTAGGAGCCAGATAGTCCCATTATACAAATGAAGAGATTAAGGTACCTG